CTCAATTGTAAATAGTGCACAACCCTGATTTCAAATTGGAAACATTACAGACAGACATGCATATAGTCATTAAAGTCTCTTTTAAAGTCTTTTTCTTCTTCTTCTTTTTCTTCTGTTTCAGTGATGATGTGTCATCTTGTCAAGCGAGTTGGGGGGGAGAATCGATGTGTGGCGTCTCTGAATGTTGAGTCATTTGTGAAAGCGGATTGAGCAAATAAGGATACAGTAACAGGTAATACTCTTAGCCGCCAGTAATGATGCTAACGTAATATGTGTTATGCAAACTGAATTAGCAGACGAATAAACAAGTTCATAAACCCTCTAATGGCCATGTGGAAAACAGTAGGGTGTGTTCTAGTGAAGTAAACAGGGGGATTATTGTGTTCATTTGGTCAAGGTGGACTTTAACTTATACAAGGCTTTTAAAAAGGGCCGGAAGATAAATTGACGTGCACTTCATCGCTGGCACGGCTTCGGAAAACTCTTTAACACAAACTCTTCTGCTCTCAGAAAGAGACTCTTCATCATCAGCATTCAGCCGAGGGAAGCGTCAGAGGAAATATATCCAATTAGACCCGTCCAATCGATCTCTGCCTGTGTTAGAACACACTCGAGTCGGGCCATCTCTCCTGTAGCAGAACACAACAGGCTGATCCGATTAGCCACAGATTGAGGCGCATTCAGTCCAACAGTACAATCTCAAAGCCGATACATGATGAAGAAATCACGATAATAGGTCAAGCCGGTACACAATGAGCTGGACGAGCTTAGAAACATTACATGTGGTAAACATGGAGTGGTTTTTAATACGTTGCTATGTTCTGTGTGGTTGCTAGGGTGTTCAGTGTGGTTGCTAGGGCGTTCTAAAAGGTTACTATGATGTTTTGGTAAGTTGCTAGGCTGTTCAGGGTGGTTGTTATGGCATTTTGGGTGGTTACTAGGGTGTTCTGGAGAGTTGCTAGGGGATCTTGGATGGTTTCTAGGGTGTTCTAGGTAGCTGCAAGGGCACTGATGGTTGCTAGGGCGTTCTGTGAGGTCGCTGACACATTTTGTATGGTTGCTAGGGTTTTCTGGAAAGTTACTAGGGCCTCACGGCTGGTAGCTGTGGTGTTCTGGATAGTTGCTATGTGTTCCCGAGTGGTTGCTTGGGTGTTCTGGTCAGTTCGTATGTCTTCCCAGGTGGTTGCTAGGGTGTTTGGGGCAGTTCCTAGGGTCTCCTGGATGGTTCCTAGGGTGTTCTGGGTAGCTGCTAGGGCACTCAATGTGGTTGCTATATTATATTACTTGGTGGTTGCTAGGGTGTTCCGAGTGGTTTCTGAGTGGCTGCTTTATAGGATGTTCTGGGCAGTTACTAGGGCCTCCTGGGTGGTTGCTAGGGTGTTCTGTACAGTTGCTAGGGCATCCCAGGTGGTTGCTAGGGTGTTCTGGACAGTTGATCGGCCATCCTTAGTGGTTGCTAGGCCATCGTGGGTGGTTGCTAGGGCATCCCTCGTGGTTACTAGTGAGTTCTGGACAGTTAATAGGCCATCCCTAGTGGTTGCTAGGCCATCCTGGGTGGTTGCTAGGGCATCCCTCGTGGTTACTAGTGAGTTCTGGTCCTGGACAGTCAGTTAATAGGCCATCCTGGGTGATTGTTTGGGTGTTCTGGGCAGTTGCTAGGGCATCCTAGGTGGTTGCTAGGGTGTTCTGGACAGTAACTATTGCATCTTGATTGATTGTTAGGGTGTTCTGGGCAGTTCCTAGGCCATCCCTGGTGGTTGCTAGGGTATTGCTATATGGTTGCTAGGGGTGGTTGCTCCGGTATTCTGGGAGGTTTGTCGTCCAGCAGGTAAACTCATAAGTGTGATCATAACACGATGCATAACTTACTGTAGCAAACACGGGCTTGTGTAACCCAGAGCCACAGGGATCCCGTAAATGGGATTAATTAGCAGCTAAATGATTGTTTGCTGATATTTGGATTGCGAGTGCTTTGGATTATATGATATTTGGAGCAAACAATATTGATTATGCAAGCGTTACAAATAATTACGGGATGGAATCTGATGGTCTTTCTGACATCAACACAACAGCTCTGCAATTGTAAACAGCCTCTTCTAACGCATGCGATCTGAACACACGCGTGCTGGTGTTGGTGCAACATGTACACTGATCCTGATTCACAACGACTCCATTGTTTTGCTGGACGCCGGAGTATTACAGCATGGCCTGTGATCTGGATACAAATGAGATCCAGCATATTAGACTTTGGGCTGTTGTTGTTAGCATTCAGCGTTCTGGCTAACGCTGTGAGACGAGACATCAATCTGAACCGCTTCCAACACTTTCTGATTCTCCAACTCCCACTTCTGTTTTTTATTGGGTAAATAGAGTGTGTGCTCATCAGGGATTACTGTGTATGCAACATCATTCTTGTTTCATGCATATTATTAATAATGCATGTGTTGAGATTAGGATATCCTACCTATGGAAGTTTATATGTCCCACAGAATAAAAAATGTAAATGTTATTGTGAATTTGTACACACAAACTCAGGAAAAACTCAGAATTTTTTTGTGGCAGAAACAAAACAAATCAGGATTACGAGATACAGTATAAAAATTCTTGGGGGAAAAAATATTATTATTTTTTTTAATGAATTACAAAAATTAAATTCAGGATTCCGAGGGAAAATAATTATGAATTTAGAAATATGAGGGGACAAAAAAGGAGAATTATGAGAATTAAATCAAGAATTATGAGGAAAAAAAATCAGGATTACGAGATATAAATTTAGATTTATGAGGGAAAAAAGTCAGGATTATGAAATATAAAGTGAAAAATCTGAGGATATTAACTCGGAATTCCAAGAAAAAAATCTGAATTGCAAAATTTCCTCTTGCAAACTAACAAATTTTGAGAAATAAACTTGCAATACCAAATTTTGAACTATATATAAAGGTAATTGTTAGAAAAAAGTTGGCAAAATAGGAGATTCCATTCAAACACACACACACACACACACACACACACTCTCTCTCTCTCTCTCTCACACACATGCACACACTCTCTCTCTCTCTCTCTCTCTCTCTCACACACACACACACACACAATATCCACTGAATCCACATAAGCACGTGTGTGTAGAGCGGTGTGACAGTGTTGGATGGCTCAGCATCAGTAAGCACTTCCTCTGATGTTTTCTTGGGTTTCAGTCTCAGGGCCGGCGGCCATTAGATGCTGAGCATCGTTTATCTTCAGAGTCATTAATTATTTGTGTGTCGTTATTTATTAGCACTTACTCTGAGCATATGGCTGGGACGACGCATATCTGGGTGAAGTTTATCAAGCAAGGATGATTTTCCATCTCACAAACTACTCCGTCTTTCTTTCTTTCTGAGAGATTCCTCAGCAACATCTATCTGCACCTCCTTTTGCAGTAACGATCGATCCCGAAGAGTGTGTGTCCGCGGTGCGGTCCGGTCTCGGCGAGAGTTATACGGCATAACGAGTCGTCAGAACGCCTGTTGTGATGCCTGAGACGAGTGTGAGGAATATCATCTTTCGCTTTCAAATACGATGGAGGCCACATGCTGTGTGTCGAGGAGAGACTGCTGTGTTGCGATGACCTCATCACACACACACACACACACACCCCGCTGCTCGATGTGACCGGAATAAAGGGAACAACTGGCCCTGGAGCCGGACGAGTGTGTAATTTGGACCGGCGCCCCGACTCTGCATCCGAAAGCACTTGTTCCACACACACACACACACACACACACACACACACTCACACACACACACACACACACACACTCTGGAGAGCCGAGCTGCTTCTGAAGGTCACCAGACTCTTCCCAGCAACAGGTTAGAGAACAGCTCGATGTCCACACACACACACACACACACACACACACACACACACACACACACACACGTCCGGCTGAACTCAAGGTTCTCCAGTCAGTCCTGAAGGCCCACAACACATCTAATATTGAGTGTGTGTGTCTGTGATGATGACACCGAGGTCAGCGATTGGCTGATATTTACATAATTCCTATAATTGAGTAAATATTTTGTCAGTGTGTGTGTTCCCCTGATGGAGAGCCCAACACACACACTCTCTCTCTCTCTCTCTCTCTCTCTCTCTCTCTCTCTCTCTCTCTCTCTCTCATCTATCTATCTATCTATCTATCTATCTATCTATCTATCTATCTATCTATCTATCCGCCAATCCGTCTGTCTATCTATCCACCCATCCGTCTATCTATCTATCTATCTATCTATCTATCTATCTATCTATCTATCTATCTATCTATCTATCTATCTATCTATCTATCTATCTATCTATCTATCTATCTATCTATCTATCTATCTATCTATCTATCTATCTACCCATCCGTCTGTCTATCTATCCACCCATCTATCTATCTATCTATCTATCTATCTATCTATCTATCTATCTATCTATCTATCTATCTATCTATCTATCTATCTATCTATCTATCTATCTATCTATCTATCCGCCAATCCGTCTGTCTATCTATCCACCCATCCGTCTATCTATCTATCTATCTATCTATCTATCTATCTATCTATCTATCTATCTATCTATCTATCTATCTATCTATCTATCTATCTATCTACCTACCTACCTACCTACCTACCTACCTATCTATCTATCTATCTATCTATCTATCTATCCACCCGTCTATCTATCTATCTATCTATCTATCTATCTATCTATCTATCTATCTATCTATCTATCTATCTATCTATCTATCTATCTATCTATCTATCTATCTATCTATCTATCTATCTATCTATCTATCTATCTATCTAATCTTACTTACTTACTTATTTACTTATATTCCCAATCCACCTGTGTATATTGTGTGTGTGTGTGTATGGGTTATATTTGTGAAGTAAAGGGTTAGAGGAGGGGTTTGTGTCAGTGTCAGTGTTGTTCCGCCCAACACGAGTTTGGACCAATGGGCTTTTCCGGCGTCCTGCTGTAACCGAACACACTCTCGCAGTGAGCAGCGCAGGGTTCACATCATCCTCACACCGAACCGCGTGAAACAGCCCGCGCTCCTTCTTCTTCTTCATCTTCTTCTTCATCTCTCGCATTAGAATGACGGAGTGTGACGTGCGCGCGTCCGGATCGCGTGTGTGTTTCTCGAGCTCTGCGTGTTCCCGAAGGGACTTCAGTTCAACATCTCACTGAGATCAGTGTGAGATCTCGCTTCTGCTTGTGTTTCCACCGGCAACTTCTGTGAACGAACACACTGACTCTCTCCTGCGCTCCCGACTTGTGGATGAGGAGCTTGTTTCTCTCCGGCGCGTTGATATGTGTTTGTTTCATGCGTTAGAATGAACCCTTAAACACTGACTGTGTGTGTTTTTTTGTCTCTCCGGCGGCGCAGTCCACAATTATTGACCGTAGTGCGGACATTCACACACACTTGACAGAAGATCGTGGACATCTCAACACTTGCCCTGACATCAGCCGTGTCGAGCCACAGATGTGAATGAAAGAAAGTCGTCTGAAGAAAGAGGAATATACGTGTCCAAGTGAGCTGTAGTGATGCTGCAAGTGGAAATGATCATATTCGTGGGTGTGATTCTGTGGATGTGTGTATTTAGTCAAGAGCCCAGCTCAAAGGTGATGGCTGATCGATATGCTGTCTACTGGAACCGAACCAACCCTAGGTGAGTGGATCTGTGTGTTTATATTCTCCGCTGTTTTTGCAGGAACTTTGTATATAACCTGCGTGACACTTTCGCTTTTCATTACATTTCTGGAGAAACATGTAACCGGCATAAGAGTTAAAAAAATAATCGGGTAAATATTAAGATAACATAAACGCATTAAGATTATAGGCTGCTGTGTTAAAAAGACGATATGATAAAGAATGATCAATATCGCTAAAGTTCGCGCGCATCGCCAGTGTTTCTGACGATTATTCGCGATTTATTTGCTATAAACTATGAATCGGGCGTTTTTTTCCACAGAACAGTAGCCTATTATTATATCTAATTTAGTTTATTTATATCAATTCATTTTTTGTATCATATAATCAAAAGTAAGGTAAACTACAAAAAATCAATAATATCGATTTCTCGCGAAAGCTTTTGGTTGCGTCGCTACTGTTGCCGATCGAGTTTAAATACTAAAGTTGACTTGTTTGGTTCATACTGTAATTTATTCTCATTCAGGTGTTTTTTTTAGCATCGATACGATGAATTTCTTACTTTTATCAGTACAATTATGATAGGCTATAAAAAAATAAATAAATAAATAATTGGTTGCTTTTTCCTGTAGACGAACATTTGTAGGCTAAATGAATTCATGTTGCTTTTAAGCGTCAAATCACTGACATGAAAATAAAACCTACATTTTGCATATGAATTATGCAGTTCATTATCATCACATTTTTAAAATAATATATTAATTCATTAAATAAAAACCATGTGTAAACCATGTATTTGTGGGCATGAAAAGGGCCGCACGGTGACGGGATCTGTAAATGACACTGCAATTCTCAGCTCAAAAAGAGTTAAAATATAGCTTATAATATTACGATAAGGTGCATGCATTTAATTTACACAATGTTTTTAGACCAAAAAAAGTATTAATGCATTTTATTTGTGCATATTTAAGTGTTTCATAGGTCAGAATAATTAAAAACATGCCGTTTTTTTCTTATTTAAAAGCTTTTATAATTTGCCAAAACTTTAAATAATCATTAAATAGTTTTAAACAGCATACATATTAAATTACCATTGATGTGTATTTATTTATTTGATCTCAATCGTCTTGTTTCAACCTGTATGCTATTTAAAATGTATATTCACATTCACACTTTCCACAAAAGTCTTGTTTGTTTTTCATTGCAACAGAACTAGTTGCGTATTATATTTAAAACTAGTTTAAATGCATCAGACAGTTTTGAAACCTGAATATTTCTTTGCTGATTAGATGTTCTGTGGTCAGAATGGCTCCCCTGCTTTGGGAGAGCAGATTATTTATGTGACACTTTGTTTAAACAGAAAAATGCAAAGTCAGATTTCATTTAATATGTGATGCTGAAAAGCCACATCATTTGGACGCACGGATTTCAAGCCAAGTGATTATTCTGTTGAAAAATGAAGTTTCATTGCAGAGAGAGAGAGAGAAATATTGAAGTTCTGTATTTTTTCTTCTTCACATTTTTGGGGAGTAACCAGAAGCACAGATGGTTTGACGTTGAGTTTGGGCCTGTAAGAATCCAGTGGTTTCCTGAGTCTGTGTTTTATTGTCTTGTTTTGAAGCAGATAGAAGGGATGTTGTGTGTCAGATTTACAGTAATCTTGTTTTTTTCACTCATGCACCCTCACAAATGATAGCAAAAGAAGTGTGCACGCGCGTGCAGGACATGATATGAACACACGGACTGCGAGGAATTCATTTTGCATGATGTATTTGCATGTTTCACACACATTTTCAGCAGTGCGTCTGCTCTCCGTATGCATGGCATGAGCTCCTGCCGAATATTAGAAGGGCACATAAATTGACTCACAAAGGCACCAGTGAAGCACGTCGTCTGTTGGCTGTCCGCACTTCATTGGCTCGCACCTCCCTTATGAGTATGAATGGTTAATTGGTTAATTACTCACTGTACCTTTGGCACAGTAAATGGCCATAATGAGTTTGCTGTAGCGTTGCCCATGCTAAGAGCTCCCGCTAGCCGGATCCTCCTCAGACTTCCTTCCCCTTTATCTGCGACTCTCTTTATTTCTAAGTGCCATGCTGAGCCGAGAAAATGAATGAATACAATTCTATATTTCAGGAGGTTGATTCCTCGACTGGAGACCCGGGGCGCAGGGGTCACGCGGCCTCTGAACGGAAACCCAGCGTAGCGTTGTAACACGATAGTCGGGTCGCTCGTGAAAATGTTCCATGATCAACCAGTCAGAAATGTGTTCCCAGTTCCCACTCCACGGTCCAGTGTGTACAGGCCAGGGCAACTGTGTTTCCCGTAAAAGTCCCTTAAATACCACTTGCTATTTTTGTGTATAAGCATTGGAATAAGCAATAAAACACTATATTTATATATATATATATATATATATATATATATATATATAATATTATTATGATTATCGTATAATATTTCCCGCAAAACTTTCCAAAACCTGGTTACAATTTGTGTGTGGAATATATAAACATATTATTTTTTTATATTTTATATATATATATATACTAAATTTTTATTGCTTATTAAAATCATTCTTTTTTTATGATATTTCCCGTAAAAACTCTAAAATAACTTTAAAAACTAATATAAATATATATATATATATATATATAAATTATGTTTACGTACTCCACACACAAATTGTAGCCTAACCCGTGTTATGGGGAGTTTTATACAGATTTATATATATACTCTTCATAGTTATATAGCTCCCCATATATATATATATATATATATATATATATATTTATATAGTATATATATAGCATATGATTTTCTATTTAAATATGTTTTCCTATTATTTATGAAAATTTTATTTTCAAAAACAAAACAAAAAAGATTTTGCATATTTCTACTGCAGTGTAAGTTTTGTAAAGTTTTTTTTTTTTAAGTTTTGTAAAGTTTTGTAAATTCCACCACATTGATTATTTTATTTTTTTACCTCTGCAAACTTTGTGCACTTCTCCGCATGCGGCCGCTCATACACACTTGCATTTATTTTATGTGTATTTTAGGACCTCCTCACTCTTGGTTGTTTTAACCCAACCTTGGGTTGAATATGGACAAGCCCAGCCGTTAGGTTACATTTTTTTAATCTCATTTTTAACCCAATGTTTGGGTTTGTCCATATTTGACCCAAAGTTGGGTTAAAACAACCCAGCATTTTTAGTACTTCTGTGGGAGATTTAAAAAGCGAAGGAATATACATCATGCATCTCAGCTGAGAAATGTGTGTGTGGCGTCTCCAGTCATATACGACCAAGCTTCTTATTCTTCAGTCCTGAACAGATCCTGCGAGTCACACTGACTTGACCAGTTTTGACACTCGTGTTTTCCTCTTCGAGACTCGTTAAACCTCTCCTGTTGTGTGTAAAATGTGCTGTGCCTTTCTGCTGTCCAAATCCATTCTCAGAGGGGAACCAAGACGGCGTGTGTATCGGAGAGTTCAGCCGGTGCGTGAGAAACCTGGTCTGAAGAATTAATATTATTATGGTTTTAAAGAACAGAAAAATGCTGGGTTGTTTTAACCCAATTTTGGGTCAAGTATGGACAAACCCAAACGTTTGGTTAATTTTTTTAACTTGAATTTTTAACCCAATGTTTGGGTTTGTACATATTTGGCCCAAAGTTGGGTTAAAACAACCCAGCATTTTTAGAGTGCTACCACAGGAAGTACTAAACATGCTAGGTTATTTTAACCCAACTTTGGGTCCAAAATGGACAAACCCATCCATTGGGTTAAAAATGAAATTTAAAAAAAATTAACCAAACGTTTGGGTGTGTCCATATTTGACCCAAACCCAGGAACATTTTTTGACCCAAACCCAGCAACGAAAATGAGTTTGTCCATTTTTGACTGAAAGTTGGGTAAAATAAAAACCCAAAACCCAAACGTTTGGTTAAATTTTTTAAATACATTTTTAACCAAACGTTTGGGTTTGTCCATCCATATTCGACCCAAAGTTGGATTAAAACAACCCAGCATTTTTAGTACTTCTGTGGGAGCACTCTAAAACTGCTGGGTTGTTTTAACCCAATTTTGGGTCAACTATAGACAAACCCAAACATTCGATTAAAAATGCAATTAAAAAATGTAACCCAATGTTTGGGTTTGTCCATATTTGGCCCAAAGTTGGGTTAAAACAACCCAGCAGTTTTAGAGTGCTCCCACAGAAGTACTAAAAATGCTGGGTTGTTTTAATCCAACTTTGGGTCAAAAATGGACAAACCCATCCATTGGGTTAAAAATAAAATCTAAAAAAAATAACCAAAGATTTGGGTTTGTCCATATTTGACCCAAACCCAGCAACAAAAATGAGTTTGTCCATATTTGACCCAAAGTTGGGTTAAAATAAAAACCCAAAACCCAAACGTTTGGTTAAATTTTTTAATTACATTTTTAACTAAACGTTTGGGTTTGTCCATTTTTGACCCAAAGTTGGGTTAAATTTAAACAACCCAGAATTTTAAGTACTTCTGTGGGGGTACTCTAAAAATGCTGGGTTGTTTTAACCCAACTTTGGGTCAAATATGGACAAACCCAAAACGTTGGATTAAAAATGTAACCCAATGGCTGGGTTTGTCCACATCTGACCCAAAGTTGGGTTAAAACAGCCCAGCGTAAAGGAGCACTTTAGCCGAGGGTGACGCATGCAGAAGAATAACATCACTGTTACCCTGCAACCGCTCATTAGGTGCTTAAAAAGGCAGCGGGACGTTACGCAATGTCACAATGTTTTTATTTAATAAAGACAAAAGCGAGTTGAGCCCGGATTTGCTGTCTGTTGACTTTGGATATACAGTGGCTGTATAAAAGCTCTCAGTATCACATGCTCTTGGGCTTTGTGAACGCTGATGCCCGGTGTCGTGCTCGGGATAGTTGTCTGCCAGTCGATCGGGCTCGGGATTAGCCGTATACGTCTGCATGCAGGATTCATTCACAAACCATCATTCTAATATGCATAAGTATAT